AGATTGAAGTATGATCGGTCATACATAGTGTAGTTTGTAAATAAAAAATTTGTAAATATAACCTTACCTTTTTTAATTATTAATTTTGTTTAAACAACTTGGCTAAACATGAAGCCCTGAAAATTTTAAGTCAAGAAGGGCCAATATTTTGGTAATATTTTTCGGTATTTTCAAAATAAGAATTTTCTTACCATTATAATTAAAATCGGACCGAACCAAACAAGCTGGTTGACCTGAAAATCTGCTCATCAACTCGTCCAGTTCAAGCAATAGATCAGATATGTCTTTGAAGCATCTAGTGGAAATCAAACCCTTATCATAGGGATAGGCATAATAATATTTATCACTAGACTACATTATATTGTTGGTTAAATTGCATCATTTAATATATTTATTATATAATTTAATATGAACTAAATTTAACCGGTTGAACTAATGATCCACCGATCTATTGACCAACTACCTCAGTCGGATCGACAATCGATTCGAGTTTAATAATATTATTTCTCAATGCATACTCCTTTTCATAGTTGTAAAACCCGACCCGTCCGGGTCGACCCGAAACCTGGTGAACCGGTCATTGGACCGGTTCGGGTCAAGTATGGGACCAGTCATGCATCGACCCGGTCAAACCCGGCCAAAACCCGGCCAAACCCGGTCAAAATCGGTGACCCGGTCGGGCCATGCATCTAAAAAAAAACTAAAATACCAAAATTATTTCATCTTGTCAAAAAAATGTAGAACTCATTTTAAAAACTTTTTATAATTTTATTTTCTAGTATACTCTTTTACTATGACCTCAGATTTTAGCTTCCAATACTGAAGCAATTTGTGGAATAATAAATTAAGATAATGTGACATATGTCATTTTTAATGTAGTTGAATTCAAAAAATATGAGTTCAATGTCATTGAGAGGTATGTTTATGGGAATTCTGAGTTGCAATTTAAATTGACATAGTAATAACATGCATTTTTATTTATTTATACTTCATGTTTTTAACTTATTTAATGAATTTATTTAATTCATTTTAGATATGAAGAATACAATTGAGTTTGTATGTTCATATTTATATATATTTTTATATATCTATATATATATCTGGGTCAACCGGTCCGACCAGTGACCCAGTAACCCAGTACCCCGACCGGATCGATACCCTGGTCGGGTTTAATAACACTACTGATTTTGGTTCAAAAAACGTGTTATTTTAGAAAATAAGATTTGTTTCATTTTATCCATCACCTTAAAAAAGTAAAAGCACATTAATTATTTTTTTTATCTTTATTTATGTGTCTTGTTATCTTTATTAAATAAAATAAGAAAAACACTAATGCAATTATATTTTCATCTATTTAATAACCTTTTTAATATGTGTGCAACACCTAGTTAAGATATTATGAATCAGAAAAAATAATATAACTTAGTATGTATCACTTCATTTATAATATTAAAGGTATAATTAAAATAAAAGATACCTCTGAAGTGCTTAGATTTATTTGGAGAAATTTCAGGTCAAAAAGTTAGTGTTCAGAAGACAAATATTTTCTTTTCAAAGAATATCTCTGAAGATGTGGCAAGAAATATATCAGAAATTTGTAATTTCAAGAGGGTTAATAATGTAGGAAGATACTTGGGAGCTTGGAGGAACACGGCCGAGTAAAAAAAGAATCATACAAGGCAATAGTGGACAGAGTTAATGATAAGTTAAATGGTTGGAAGTGATTACCAAAAAAAAAAATGGTTGGAAGTCAAATTGTTTGTCTCAAGCAGGTAGAATTACTCTTTCGCAGTCAGTCCTTGCTACTATTCCTTATTTTCCATGCTGCAGGAGGAATTGATAGCAGGTATAAGATTGAGATTATAATTTCTTATGCTAAGGAGGTGTTTTTAGCTTGTGAATCAAGTAATAATAGGATTTGTGATAGATCTATTCCAGCAATCATGATTAGATGGGAGCCTCCTGAACATGGGTGGATAAAAATAAATACTGATGAGGCTTCCAGAGGTAACCCGGGTAGAGCTGCTTGTGATGATCTGATTCGTGGTCCAGATGGTAAGTGGTTGGAAGCTTTCTCTTACATGGTGGGTTATTGCAATGCAATTACTGCTGGATTGTGGGGTATTTTGAAAGGGCTAGAGAGAGCTTGGGTGGGTGGAGGAAGATTATTATTGAAAGTGATTCAGCTTATGCTATCACTTTGCTCACCAAACTAGGTGATGCATCCTGTGAGTCTCATTTAGTTACTCGTATACGGGAATGGCTTTCAAAAGATTGGTCGGTTCAATTGTTACATACTCACAGGGAGGGTAATATTTGTGCGGACTGGTTAGCTAATCTTCCGCTGGAGAATTCAGATCAAGCAGATTTGACTGTATTTCAGTTTTTCCCTCCTGAGATTAGATGGTTGAATTTTTCTGATTTTAGCTCTGTTCATAGAACTAAACACTCCCTCATGTAATTTTTTTGTTTTTTTTTGTGTTTGTTTAGGGGCGCATAGCCCCTTACCAAAAATAAAATAAAAAATAAAATAAAAGATACTGATAATTTATATAAGTAAAGTGATTCATATAACAAGAAAACCCTCTTATTCGTAAAACTGCTAACAATGCATTGCCTGGGGATAGGGGTGTAAATGGGCTGGGCTGGGCTGGGCTTTGGCCATCCTGGCCCAAGCCTATGTAAAAAAAAATTCAGCCTATCTGACCTACTGGCCTATTAAAGGCTTTATTTGTAGGCCAAGCCCGGCCCATTTTCAAAAATAAGAAAGCCTGACATGGCCTTGTAGGCCTCCCTGCATATATACCAAGCAAAAAAAATAATTATATAGAGCAAAGAAAGTTTCATTCATGCATGCACTAGTACTTCTTATAAGAAAAAAATGACAAACAAGAAAGAGTCAACATAATACCTCAGCTCTAGAATGTATATCATAGAGGAATAGAGTCAAAGAAATGGAAAAAATAAGAAAAATACAATTACTAGATGCTGAAATAAAGTCTACAAGAAAATGTCATTCATCTAAAAATCTTTAAACCACCATCAAGACAAGGGAAAAAAGAGTATTATTGAAAGATCTTCATCAGTAACATCATAATCCAGCAAGGTACTCATTGTTCCATGGTATTAAGCTGCAACAGCATGTAAAATTTGGAGACATCAGACAAGTTTTCCTTTCATAAAATAAAATAGCACAAAAAGTAAGAGATATTGGTATTTGGTACTTTGTGTCATTGCCACATAAAATAAATATTATTTTATTATTTTATTTTAATAAATTAAATAGGCCAGCCTACAAGGCTGTAGGCCGGGCTTGACAAAATTGGCCTATGACCTATTTATTAAAAAAGCTTTTTTATAAGCCTAAGTCTACTCTACTTTTCTGAAAGGTCGGGCCTGAGCTGAGCTCAATGTAGGCCGGGCCGTAGGCTGGGCTGGGCCAGCCTGGCCCATTTACACCCGGGAGTACATTAGTTTTTTTTTAGGGACCACCCCAAAGTCATTTCCCCATCGTTTAAACTCGTGGCAGCAAATGGATCTCTATGTGGAATGGTGGATTGCGGGGAATGAAAGATAGCAGGTTGCTTTACATGTTTAGCGACCACCCCCTGTGTTGACGGATGGGGGTGCTTATGTTTAAAATCCTTCATGCATTTAATTCAGAGCTCGCTTGTTCACCGTACTGCTAGTTGCCTTGCCACAACAAAGCAAGTTTAATATATTTTATTAAGCATAGCACAAATAGAATATGAGTGAAATTTTGACAAGTCAATAAATAGTTTAATTCAGCTCAAAAAACTCATAAACTGAGGTGCTGTTTGAATACTCTTCCTAAAAATAATTTTTTGTTTTTCAAAACAAAAAAATAAAAAAAAAATCGTTTGATAAAGTCTATTTTATAAAAAAAGTTTTGAAAATTGTAACTTTTTTTTTAGAATTAAATTTAGAAAACATGTGAGTTATTTTTGTCTTATATTTTGACTTTTAACTATCAAAATAAAAAATATATATTTTCATAGGGAAATACTACTCTCATTTTACATGAGGTAGTTATCTCATTTTCTCTCACTTCGAAAATCGTGCCCCTTTTTTTTTCTTTTTCTTTTTTTCTTTTAAATAGCGGGCCCTACATTGGATTCTCTCTGTAACATGAGAGAACTACTCTCATGCTACATGAGAGTAATATTACCCATTTTCATAACTATTTTATAAAATAATTTTGAAAATAAAAAAAATCAGAACACAATTAAACATGGAGATTGTACCTTTCAGTCCATTATAGCTCATGAACTCATAAACTGGGCCTCCCAAATTGAAGGCTGTGTGTACCCCTAAACCGAGTAATACTAGACCCAACAAGCCCAATGGAGAGCTCGATCTACACCAGTTTAACCTGGATTCTGCTTGGCCTAAGGTGGTGCCTACGTGTCTTGCATAGAAATAAAACTATTCAAGAAATAAAACTACACGAAAGGGAAGGACAAAGTGTCAAAATGTAGCTAGAGAAATTAAAAGATGCAGAAGTATGATTATTATCATAGGAAGGGTTACATTTATAAATTGTTTATTTACAAACTCTTATAAACTATATTATGTATTTTTGAAAGTATATAATGTAAGGATTTTATTTATGTCATGTAACAGTAAAATCATATTGTATCCTGCCTTCACATCTATAAATGAATTACTCTTTTTCTTCTTTTTTTCTCTCACCTGGTGTGTCCCGCTTTTGAATGAGTGTGCATGAATAAGATTTTGTTTTTCTGTTACTTTGATACTAATAAACCCCATAATGTAATTTGCAAAATTTTGTAAAAAAAAGTTGTAAATGAATTTTCTTCCATTATCGTATGCATACATATATAACAGCAACGATATGATGCTGCCACTCTTTAAAATTCTTGATTACTAGTGGGCAAGAGTAAGTGACAACCCCAAATTGATTACATCTACAGTAATGGATCCCAATTCTTAAGTTCCTGACCAAGTATATCATCCAGTTACAGAAAATCATCCCTAACGAAGTTACTAGTGCTCCGGGTAAGACTTTGTGCTTCATGGTCTAAACTACTCTCCCAGAACACCCCAGTACAGCTCATGTCTCCAAGAAGCACCGTATTATTATTACACGAAGTCTTGTTGGAGTTAGATACAAACCTCGGAGGAATGATCAAATTATGATCAACTACTTTATTACAATAGTTGTTGTCTATGTTTGGAGATGGAGGAACTCGAGGTGTTGGCAAATTGAGCTTGGCTGATGCACCGTAGAGCCTTCTAGCAGCATTGTCATAAGCAAGTGCGGCTTCAATAGAGGTGTTGAAAGTGCCAAGCCAATGCCTAGTGCCACGTTTGGGTTCTCTTATTTCTGCAACCCATTTTCCCCAAGTCCTCTGCCTCACTCCTCTATAAGTGCACAGAGCATTCTCGGGTCCCCCTTTACCTTTCATGCACCCTTTTCTTGACCGTGGCTTTTTTTCCACCGCAACTTCTGATCCCTTTTTTCATCATGCTTATTTGCTTAAGCTTATTATTGCTGCACGGTGTGTGATTTACTTTGCGCCTTTGGTAATAAGAATCAATATCAACAAGAAGATATTCTCATGCTGCTCTGGTTTTTGAACTTCCTGCAGGTTCCAACTTTCAACCTCGAATTAAACGGAGTGAGTACCTTTCTTCGAATTAGAATTACGTTGGCGGCTGGAATTCTTTTAATAAAATAGACTATCTTTCTAATTTTGTTGCGTGTATATAAAATAAAGGATTTCGGTGCCTTAGTTTTTTTTTTTCACAAAATACGGGTCTCACAAATTATTGTGTGTGTAAAAAAATTTATTATGTCACGTTAAAAGACAAACAAAAAACCCCTAACATAAATAGCAATAAATTAAGTTGCTTTTTATTATATATAGTGTTTTTATTGGCTTGTGTGGCCTATCTTTATTTAATTGGTGATTTTCTAATTTTTACTTGGATTATAACAATATTTGCGATTCAAAAATTGCCAATTACACTGAATTGTTTTTAGTGTTCCATTTCAAGTAAAACAAACATGAGAAATTCCCAAGATTGTGATTAGCTCATTAAAATTAACTAGGTAAAGAGAATTATTTGGTATTTTGTTGGGAGTGAATCCTCTTTGTGTTTTTTAAAATAAACAGACATGTATTAAATCTTAATTATTCACAGTTAAATTAACCATTGGTCTGCCAAGATTTCTTCTATTATAGTAGCAGAATTTTTTCTCCTATATACACAATACAAATATAAGATCCACTGAAAAGAGTAAAAAGAAAAAATAAAAGTGAGATCCGCATTTTTATATTATGTCTTTGAGCGAAAAAAAATCTTCTCATCAAAATTCTTGAATAGCATGAGCAATCAAATTTTCTTTTGCTACGAAGGTGATGTTTGATTTAGATTTTGAAGTTTTCACGCTTCTTGCATTATAATGTTGTTTGAATAAAAATGTGAGCATTGATTATTTATGAGCCGTGGAATTAATTCCAACCATACACAATGAAAATTTAGCTGCCACCTTACAATATCATGACCACTGCCCATTGGAACCAAACGTCAAACCCCAATATCCCTCAATTAGGCCCAAAAGCACACTCTTTACCAGTAATACAAGCCTCAAGGATCCAAAAGCCCATCAAAATTCTTGCGCTGGCAGCAAGCCTAAGACTAATGAATTGGGAACAGCGACCAAAATGTCACTGTTCATCAAGTTTTTATCTAAATATCATGCTAACAGTGTTATTTTTTAATCTGCCACGGGAGCAAGTTCGCTACCCGGTGTAGCGAACTCGGTTCGCTGACGTATCACATTTATAATGGAAACCAAGTTCGTTACACGGGGTAGCGAAATTAGTTAAAACCAAGTTCGCTACCCAATGTAGCGAACTCCATACTTATTTTTTTTTTTTTTAAACTTGGTACGTGTTATCTACTATAAATGTGACACGTCAGCAAACCAAGTTCGCTACACCGGGTAACGAACTTGCCCCTACGGCAGATTGGAAAATTAACATTATTCGTGTGACATTTAGGTAAAAAACTTGGTGAACAGTGACATTTTAGTCGGTGTTCCAACGAATTGTCAAATTTCCCTCGTAACCCGAATCATTGTTATTTCGAATTAAAAAAAATTGGAGAAAGGTGGATTTGATATGAAGTATTTCAGTAAAAACGAAAGGAAAAGGAATAATGGATTATACTCTTCCCTTATTTAATATGAATTTACAATAAAAAAAAAAATATTTAGGGATAACATTTTTATGATCTTATTATTTTTTTACTCTCTCTCTTTTTAATGGAAAGGGGGAAAAATGGAAAGAAAGAGATTTTTTTAAGTTACATCATATATTTACAAGCTTTTTCATGCTTATTTTTTTAATCAATATTTTTTTTTCAATTTTTACTTAAATTAATCATGCACTTTTTTATTTTAAATATTTTCATCTTTTAATTCATATTTTTTATAATGAGAAAAATGTTTGTCATTTTTTAAATGACATTACTTTGTGTCATTTTAAATGAAATTAGTCGTTTTTGTGTAAATTTGATAACTTTTTATATTTTTTCTCCTCCATAAAATTAGTAAGAGAGAGAAAATGGATGAGAGATGATATAAAAAATGCCAATTATGTACCAAAATGACATCGATTTATCTAAAATGACACAAAGCTGTGTGATTTAAAATGACCCAAGGGTAGCTCAGTTGGCAACTGAGCTCCCAAAGGATTGCTTGGTGCAGGGATCAAACCCTGCCTCAAGCAGTTTCTTGGAAAATCTTTGGGGGCCAGAGCATAAGTCAAAAATCTTCGGTTGGGGGATTAGTCTCGTCCTTTCTCCGGTTGCGAAGCTTAGTGCACCCACTGTTACAATGAGGGGCTAGCCCAAACGGGCCGTACCCCGAGGGCATGATGCCCGGAGAAGGTTGAATGGGAATACCTCCTGACGCAATGTACCAAAAAAAAAAAATGACACAAAGATGTGTGATTTAAAACAAAGATGACAAATATTTTTCCCAAATTATAAATGAAAAAAGTATTTATTACTTAAAATGACACTACTTTGTATCATTTTAGATTAAAGGACATCGTTTTAATGTAAATTTGATGACTTTTTATTTTCTCTCTCCTCTATAAAATTAGGAAGAGAGAAAGTAGAGAAGAAAGAATATAAAAAATATCAATTATGCACTAAAACAACGTCGTTTCGTCTAAAATGATGCAAAGTTGTATCATTTAAAATGACAAATTTTTTCCCTCATAATTTACCTAAATTTCAAAATACCCATAAAATATATGAAATACTTGTTACTTTACAATTTTTTTCTTCATAAAACCAAGAAAGGAATGGCTTGTTTGAAATTTATTTTGAAAAATAATTTTTTGAATTTTAGAACAAAAAAAGTTGTTAGATAATGACTATTTTGTAAAATTAATTTTAAAAAAAGCAACTATCTTTTATTTTTAGAATCAAATTTTGAGACAGATATGAGTAGTTTTTATTTTGTGTTTTAACTTTTAAAATAAAAGAAGCATATAAAACATCTATTTCACAAAACAATTTTAAGAATAAAAAAATAGAAAAATATTTCTGTATTTAATGCAGATAAGTTATTTGTATTTACTTCCGAAACGACATCGTTTTGAGATTGAAAGATTAGGAAATTATAATTATAGAGACTATAATAACCTTGAAATAAATTAAAATTACAAAAATACCATGATTTCCGCCTCAAAATGACGTTGTATTGAACTTACTGCAAATAACTTATTTAGAGTGACCGCATAAAAAATAAACACAAAAAAAAATCAAAACACAAACAAACAACATATCCGAAGTCTTCCTTTTTTTTGTCATTAGAAGATATTGAAGACATAATTCCACATTTTCTCTAATCCTGTCTTTTCTTTTCTTTTTATCATATTTTTTTCTTTTCTTTTTCCGGATACCAAACAGTCACAACTCACAACCGAAAGTACGTTCGATCCCCACGCCCATCCCCACTGATTAACTAAAACACTGTCAATTAAGTGCACGGGCAGTTTTGTGTTTTCGTTGTCTTGGCCATTAATTATTCCACGTGGCCAAGTTGGTGGCTGTTGAAGTTTTCATGGTTAACTTTACTTCGCCGTTAAAGTATATGAGTGATGGTTGGTGTGTAGGGAGATCAAGCCACAGCTCATCTGAAGGGAGAAAGAAAGAACCTTTCCAAAGTTATTTGAGTAATATCATCCTAAATACGTATAGTTAGGTGCTGCATGCTTTCATAAACAAGAATTCCGATCACCAATTAGCCTTATTCCTGTAAACACCTTGCCTTCAAAGTGAGCTCACTCTTGGATGAGTGAATTTTCTCATGTAAAAAAGTAGTCATGTGATTTGATCACAATTATTCATTGATAATGAAATAAATGAGAGAGAAATATATAATTTTTAAATAAGTAATTGTGATCAAAATATGACCACATAATCATTTTTTCACACGAGAGAATCCACTCCCGTTCACTTTATATTTAAATGGTGACCACGCTACATTAATTAATTAAGTCAAATGGCATTCATTTCTCTTTCAAATTTTTTATAGAAATAAAAATAAGGAACTAAAGATAAGATGTGTTTCAGTGCATGCGATCATTGACTTTTTATTGTTAATTAAACTCATTTAACACACAATTCCATAATCATAGCTCTTAATGTCATTGAATTTATTTTTGCTTCCATACACAAAGGACGTTTTTTATTTTATTGATTATCGAAACTGCAAATTAATGATTGAAAACAAATTCTTAATTGATACACACAGTTGGAAAATAATTTGCTAATTTGTCACACACACGTATATAACTAGTCATTTTGGGAATTAAGATATTTAATTAATGATATTTTACAAAAATTGTTTCTATGTTATATGAATTTTTTCAAAACACCTTTTATTAATTCTCCACCCATAATTGTTTGTATCCTATCCAATTCTATTACATTTCCATAATTGTTTTTAGGGAAAATTGTTTATCCTTTTCAATGACACAACTTATATCATTTCACTATCACAAAGAGGTGGAATCCACACCTTTACTTTTTTTTGTCAACTCTCTCCTCCTTTATCTATCTCTTTCTCTCTTATCTTAAAATGACACAACTTTACATCATTTATAATGACATACACTTTTCCCTTGTTTTTATTTTGTAAGTTCTCAGGTTTTATTATATTTCCATAATTGCTTGTGCCATATCCAATTCTATTACATCTCCAAAATATCCAATTGTTGGACCTTTCGACTGTGAAGATGAGCCTAAAATTTAGTAAGGCAGCCCCTGCTCAGTAGTAGGATTGAGATTCTGCACCGATTGCACAATTCATTGAGTGATAAGGGCCAGGGCCATAAGGATTTGTTGTTTGTACTTGTTCATCGACTATCATTAATATCCACTC